GTATCCCCTCCAAGATCAGCTGCTCCCGAAGATCCCACTGTGCTTTCCTGAAGCAAAGAGCTGGGAGTTGGTCTGGAGAAGCTTATGACAGTGGCGGGTGGCTGGATCAGCAATGTGCACCCAGGGCACAGCCGTACGTGTGGCCTCTTCCCACCGACCACACAAGCTCTGTGGGATCTCAGTCCACACAGTTCTGAAACAGGACCTCCTGCTGCAGTGGAGATAGATCAGGAACACACCGCAGAGAAGAGAGTTAATTGAAGATAGATGGCTCAGGGGAATGAAATGTTCAACTGAGGTCATGAGAACATAAAAAGAGAGATGGAATGAGATATAAACTGAGAAAGAAGGATGGATTTCAAAACAGTGCGTCTCTGGAATTACATTTTGAAAACTTTTTCAATAATCCATTCTCAGAAAGAAAATCTGCTGAAATGGAATTCCAGAGTCAGCAGCCCTGTAGCAGAGTAATCCTCCTTTTAAACCAACATTCGTGTGTTTTCCTCTGCTGGGATCTCCATGTAGTGCTCTGCATGGATCTCGAAAGCAGTCTTTTCTGACAACCTAATGAGGGTGTGACTCCAACCAGTCTGTCCCTTGACACAACAGGGTGCTCACTTTGCAGTGCTGGAGACACGTCAGCTTTTTACTGAGATTTTGGATTTCAAAGCACCAGTTAAACTAATTTAAAGTAATCTTCTCGTTCTTTCTCTTGATGTGTGTTCTGGCTGGACGGCAGGAACCTCCTCTGCTTAGTCAAGTGACATGACCAGTGGTTAATTCCAGAATCTTGCAAACCTCCCCGCCAACGTTCATTCCTCCATGTAGCCAAATTTCATTACAACTAAGTCACCTCCCGAGTTAGGAATCCCACATGAGCTATGAAGAGATTAATGCAGAGACCATTAACTCAGTCTGAGGATCTAATGGCTCTCGAGGTCCTTGTGTCTCACTGCGCTCCGTATGAACATTCTTGTGTCACATCAACAGGCTGCAGCATGGCTTGGTGTGCCGCAAGGCTAAATTCATACAATCTTTGTGTGATGTCACCAGTAGAGGTAGTCTTTTCTCCTCCATGATTTTGACTGCACATAGAGTGGCCAAACTGCACATGGAGTGGCATGCACCTGGCACCTTAACCCTTTGTCCTGTCCCTGCATTCACTGTATTGAAGTAATTGGTGGTGAAAAGGGACATTTGGAATTCTAGAAGAGGAAGTGTCCAGTGGATCTGATGGCCTATGTTGAGTATGCGGCATTAATGATCACAGTTAGTGGATTTTACTTCTGATCCTACCACCTGATCCCTGTAGCATCTTAGGATATGTCTAGACTACATGCCTCTGCCAACAGAGGCATGTAAATTAGACTACCCAACACATTCAATGAAGGGGGGATTTAAATATCCCCCGCTTCATTAAAATAAAAATGGTCGCCACACTGTGCCGACTCAGCTGACCGTTAGCACAGCGCAGCAGTCAAGACGCAGATAAGTCGACCGGGAACACCTTTGTCGACCGCTCCTGTAAACCTCGTTTCATGAGGCATAAGGGAGCGGTCGACAAAGGCTTCCCTGTCGACAGATCTGAGTCTTGACTGCCGCGCTGTGCTGACGATCAGCTGAGCTGGCACAGCGCGGTGGCCATTTTTATTTAATGAAGCAGGGGAGATTTAAATCCCCGCTTCATTGACTGTGTCGGGTAGTCTAATTTACATGCCTCTGTCGGCAGAGACATGTAGTCTAGACACACCCTTAGAAACTACCTACAATGTATACATGAGATCATGACCTTTTGGGGCAAAACCTGGTAATCTTCTCCTCAGTGCCTTTGCTCACTTCCACAGATAGGTGCTCTGATATCAATATGATGCTTTATCACCACCAGTGAAGGGACTTCAAGGCACGTCTGGCTCGATAAAGTTGTACGGTTCGCAATATCGTTGTCAATGACATTTGGACATATGAAGGCGAATTCTCCTCCAGGACCCAATTCTCTTGACTGCTCATAAGAATATAGTAACATAAGAGCGGCCAGACTGGGTCAGACCACAGCTTCATCTAGCCCAGTGTCCTGTCTGCCAACAGCGGCCAATACCAGATGCCCCAGAGGATGGGAATAGAACAGTTAATCCTCTTGTGATTCCTCCCATCACCTACCTCCAGAGAAACAGAAGCTAGGGATCATGGACTGAGATGCAATGACTGATGTTTCCCATTGGTTTCCTTATCCATTGGCTGAGAGCAGTTGCAGGTGGAGGTGCAGATTGTGCCCAGACCCTCGCCAATCACAGTTTTCTCTGCACTATGCAGGGTAAAGAGACTTTATTCACTAGCTCAACATCTGCCCTTCAACTTGACAATCAATATAAAAGGGAAATGAAGAGGCACATTGCATGAGAATGACAGAGCCCCAACTTCACAGGCTCAGAGTCATGACGTGAGCCCTGGAGTCACATCTTAGACCTTGACATGAACTTGTAATGTTTGTCATTAAAACAAGTAACCCTAATACCTGTTATTACTTCTGTAATGATACAACTCTTTGGCCATATAAAACGTAATGAGTGGCTGTAAAGGGCTTTAAATGCTTAGATCAGAGGAAGCTCCAGACAAGCCACCATGAAAGATACAATTACACCAGTTTGCTGCAGAGGTCGGAAGAGACACGTTATGGTGAAGGTCAGACAGGGAGAGAGAGCGAATCAAAATCAAAACCAAAAAAATAGAAGTGATTGGGACCCTGAATCCTCTGATGCCCTCTGGGCACTTACCATCCTCCACTTCCAAATACGTCACTCACCTGAGAGTGCCTCTAAGACAGGCTTCTTCTGGCATTTGTCTTATTTTATTTTGAAGATTTCTGGGAAAAGTTTGGGTGAAACATTGTCTGATGTAAGTGTGAACCAAGATCTACAGTCGGTATTCAGCAGTCAGTGATAGCGCCCTGTACTTGCTAGGGATGGCACTGAGATGGCTATTTACATATGAGCAGATTTAAATAATATTCTACAAAAGTTTATCACACTGGATTTCAATGAGCCCAGTTTTATTCCTGCACTGCACAGGACCAAATTTGGAATTCACAGGATAATTAATATCCTGACAGGTAAAAGTGGCTAATGTGAGAAACATGACCTATTCTGTTCCTCATTTCACAGTTCTTGAAGAATTCCAAACCATTGGGTCATTACGGCCCATTAAAGAAAAAGTTGCACATATAGGGCAGAGGGCGATTTCATCCCACTCAGTGACATGCCTCAAAGAAAGTTTTTGGTGGTGGAATTCTATATGGTGGTTTACATTGCCAGCACACTTACAGAAATGATACGCATATGAGGGACTGTAATTCCTTTGGAGAAGTATTGTCTTCAGGTAAAAAGAAGACTCAGTTTAACTGGACCAAACCTTAGCCAGCTTTTATAATTGATGCTTATGTGGAAGTATGCACACTTTTTAAAGAAGACATGTAATAACGTGGCTGTCTATAAGGGTGTAACAATAATGGACCTCACATTTAACCTGTAGTAGTGTCAGAAATACTGTGTCATGTTTCTATTACATCACTTCATATCCACATGATCTTCACCTCAAAGTGCCTCTTTTTTTACACCTATAAAATAAGGATATTAAGGATGTTAAAATGGCACATCATTCAGCATTCACTGAAATGAAGGTTTCAAAGGACTTCAGAACACTCGTTGTTTCATACACGCAAAGCAAGCTACTCTTAATTAATGTTGAATTATTCAGGGGGTTAGACACTCCTGCAATGAGTAATAGAGTCACTTAAAAAATAGAGGCCAAGGTCTCTCGTGTCACTCCGTGAACTGGGTCACGATGGAGAGTAACAGAATTTGGAATTTTTTTTTGCATTCAAATTTATTGTTTCATTTGGTATTTAAAATACATTTTATAGAAAAATATGGTGCCTTTTTATGTAAATCAATAAAATTGCTTCAGAGCCTTAAAATTGAAGGAAGATATTTCTTATTTCTTCTCCATGTATGAAAGACATTGCTATGGATGTATATTACAGTAAGACCTTCATTCAGGATCTGGAAGGAATATCTGTAACATGACCTATAGCTGATCAGATTACCTGTCCTATCCTATCCCAGAGCCATCTGCTCCTCACCAAGAATCGATGATCTCCACCTCCTCTGGGCATCTCAGGGCCTATTCAAATGTGTTATCTTACAAGACCTCACTTTCCTGTCAGCTCAGACACAGAGAGAATGTTTCGGACGGAGTCCAAATGTTATGACTTAACACAAGAGCTTTCCATCAAAGAGCCCTGCTTCCTGTCCCAGACCTCCATCCCTTCCCTGGAACCGAGGAAATAAACTTCCTGCAGCCCCTTGAGACCGCGTTCGTGACACAAGCAGAGGTCCAGACACAGGAAAAATTTCAGTCGTTGGTGAGAGAATTTCACTCCTCAGAGAGGATCACGTTCTATTTTATTGTGTGCTCAGAAATAATGTAAAGCGGGAATGTGGATGCACCTGGATGTTATTCTCTCTTCCTGCCAAAGGCAAATTCAAGAATTAAACTTCCGACAGAAAATACACTGCAGGCAGTGGAGTGACTGATTGCACCTAGAATGGGATCTAAACATTCAATATTTGTAAGAAAGCTCATCAGTAGCTCTCTGCATCCTACCACATTTAGACTAAACAACACAATGTCCCCAAGTGTGACCTATGTGAAGCAAAAGATCAAACTGCATTTCTGCTCATTGGACCCAGTTGTGCTCCAGATCCAGCTCTGAATCACCTTGACATTCGTTCTCATTGCACCACCAAGGCCCCAGGAAATGCACAGAGTAATGTGCATCAATGGGATTAGCCCTAATAATAATAATGCTCAGCTCTGGGGAAGCAGCTGCATCAAAAGGAGGATGTACCAAGGCAACCAAGTTTGTGTGATAACTAATTGGGGGTTCCTGTACAAAACGCACCATAAACCCTCCAGGCCATCCTAGAACCTGTATAAAAGCACCCGAGACACTGAACTCTTCTAAACACTTCTCTGGACTTCATCTCCTCGGTGATCTCGGTAAGTCCAATTTGACTTCATCTCTTTATCCTCTGAGAGACGGCACAGTAGGGGCCTTCTCCACTTTACAGTGAATCTTGCCTTGATTCTCTGTAATTCCTAAAATTCATGAGGTTGTTCTTCCATATTTATCCCGTATAGTTATTCAGTTGCAGGCTGTGGTGGATGTACGATTTCAAGCCAAAGGTGGTTTTTTTAGGAGCAACACTTAGAATTCCAAAACAGATTCTGTATTAACTGGATATAAAATTAATACCCTTAAATCTTTAAGGAAACTTTAGAAAGTCCTTTGGCCATTTCTCATTTAGCTATATGTAGAAGAAACTTTCCCAGCTTCGTCCATACACAGCCAATTCAGCACTTTCCTACTGTATTCTAAAGAAGCTGCTACACCTTGCTTTTGGGGATAGGAGAATTCTTAAGCTGCCAACTGGTGTGATCCAATGTGCCAGTTCCTCTGTTCTCCTGAGTATGTATCGCCATGGAACAAGCTTATCCTGAGATGGTAGAAGTGTGGTTAGTTCCATTGAAGTCACTGGGTCTGGACTCATTTTAGCCCAGTGGAGGGTTTTGTCCTTAGGATTTCTATGGGAAAAAGGAAAGTTTCTCTTCAGGTATCAGCTAGCATTGGTGACACCAGGAGTTGGAAATCCAAAGAGCCACACTATTAAAGGAGACAAAACTGGTTTGCAGGCCGAGGTTGGCTCCTCAAAGGAAAAGAAATGCTTAGCATTATCCCAGCTGTAGTTTCTTTGGGTATGTCTATACTACAGTAAAAGATCTAAGGTGCCGCTGCCAATCTTCCAGTGTTTGAATTAGTGGGTCCAGTTAAGATAGTTCATTCGAAGAAGAGGGGCGCTTCGGTTGATGCCAGTGGTCTCGGTTTCATGAGGAGTAAGGGCAGTCCCTTTCACTTTCTGCAGTGTTGGCAGTGCCTTGACTTCAGCTATGCAATTAACGTAATTAATTCGACTTTGTTCCATAGTGTAGATGTACCCTGAGAGAAATGTTTGAAATAGACACAGAATTCCAGATTTCCATCAATTAAATAATTACGCTCCTTCCAGGATGTTGATTGGAGACAAAATCTGTGAGAAGGTTTCAAAGGGGCCCTCTGGGAGGAAAGTTTAGTGTAAGTGGCTAAGAAGACTAGAAAGAGGAAACAGGAACAAATACATACCACCGAACATTGCAAAGAAATCCACTCTTCCTCTTTCTCTCAGGCCCCAGGTAGATCTCTCAAGAATAAGAACCGAGCTATGAGGCAATTCCTCAGCAAACACCTGCATCTTCTCTTTATTCCATTCTATTCTATTTCAGGTTTACCTCCATCACACAAAGATGTCTTGCTATCCAGAATGCGGGGTGGCCCGACCCAGCCCAGTTTCCGGCACCTGCAACGAGCCGTGCGTGAGGCAGTGCCCTGACTCCGAAGTGGTGATCAGACCCTCACCGATTGCCGTGACCATCCCAGGGCCCATTATGAGCACCTTCCCTCAGCAGAGTGAAGTGGCAGCTCTAGGAGCCCCTGTGGTGGGATCTGGCTATGGTGGCTCATTTGGTGCAGGAGCACTCTCCGGATATGGAGCGGGAGGTTATGGGGGGCTCTGTGGTTATGGGGGAGGTTATGGGGGGCTCTGTGGTTATGGGGGAGGTTATGGGGGGCTCTGTGGTTATGGGGGAGGTTATGGGGGGCTCTGTGGTTATGGGGGAGGTTATGGGGGGCTCTGTGGTTATGGGGGAGGTTATGGGGGGCTCTGTGGTTATGGGGGAGGTTATGGGGGGCTCTGTGGTTATGGGGGAGGTTATGGGGGGCTCTGTGGTTATGGGGGAGGTTATGGGGGACTCTGTGGTTATAGGGGAGGTTACGGTTATGGAGGAGCATGTGGCACCGGGGTATCTTGTCATCGGTACCTGAGTGCATGCGGCTCACCATGTTAGACACAGCAGGAAACTCTATGGCCAAAGGAAAGACCAGGAAATGAACAGCAACTGATATATTACAATATCGATTTTAGAAGGGCCATGCCAGCCTGACTCCAGCTTATCTCAATGCGAGCTCTATCTGCCCAGCCCCTTTCTCTCATGGACCTATCTCTAATGTCTTTCTAGGAACTCTTTCTGCCAATGCTTTCCCAACCACATGCTTCTCCTAGGTTATATGTGCACTCGGTTTGAATTATGCTCACCGTGTTTAACTAGGAAACAGGGGCCTTAGGAAAGGCAGAAGTTGCATTGATTAATTTTTTGGCCAACCTTGCAACTGAAAGAAAGGAAAAAGAGCTTCTCGGATTAAATAGCCCATATTAAAGCAGTGGGGGAACATTCTGTCTGTTTTGTATTATCGCTTCCAGTAATTGTGTAAATTCAAATAAAAAACTCTGCTGTATCTGAATATCCTTCTTGTGGTTCTTCCTGTTCCTCCTCTCTTCTTTATGGATTGGATTGGATGAAGGTCATCCCTGCAGTTCAGGAGGCAGTAGGCAATTGTCAAATTGCAGATTTGGAAGCAATGGAATGGTGGGAGAAGAAAGCCGCAGAGAGGGTCCATAGCATTTTGGAAGGCACCTGCAGGGGGTGGAATTCCTTCTTGCATTTACTGTTTTAGGAAAGAGCCTTTTCCTGCAAGATTTACAGAGCTTTTGAGTTTCAATAGCTAAGTGGTTTTTCTTTTATTTCCAGAAGCCCAGTATGGTAAGCTTCTGGGAGAGAATTTGCCCTAGAGCAACCCACATTTTCTGAAGGAAATGGAGAAGTAAAATACCCAAGAAATGTACACAATAGGGACATGGACCCACAATGGCTATATGTACACGTCAGACATGATGAATGGTGGCACACTCATACCTGTAGGGGACACTAACATCCATAGATATTCAGCAATTGACTTGAAAGTAGCCCTCCTTCCACAAAAGCATTTCCAAGCCAGTGGTAAAGGGGGGCACAAAGACTGGAATTCACTTGCAAAATCAACACTGTCAGCTAAGAACGGAATAGGGATCTCAACTGGCTAATGCATCACAAAGGCAAATTCCCCTCTCTGAATAGTCACAGCTACAGAGCACATAGAATCATAGAATCATAGAATAATAGGACTGGAAGGGACCTCGAGAGGTCATCGAGTCCAGCCCCCCGCCCTCAAGGCAGGACCAAGCTAGCCATGACACACTTCTACCCTGACTTGACTAAGCCAATCGCCCTTTCTGTTAGTATTGCGACTTCCAGTGCTAGGAAGGAGCATTCAGACCACTGTGTCTCTGTCAAGTCATCCGGAGAAAAGTTTCCATTATAAAACTCTCAAAGATACATTCTGCTGTAATTATGGGGCCGGCAGCCTTCTTTGAGAATATTTCCAGGACATTCTTTTCTTCTCCTGTGCCAGGACCTCCAGTGATATGTACAACTCAGCATTCATCTATGAAAAGAGCCTTCCATGACTGCCTAATGAGCGTTTAAATTCAACCAGGTCTGCTCCTTTTCCAAATTTGCACTCAAATTGCTGTGCTGGAGAGAAGATGAGACGATTTAGGGCAATGGGGCAGAAATTATTTTCCGCTCCATACTGAGATTCTGGATTTCAGTGCACCCTAGAACTCAGTAAAACTAAGCTTGTTGTCTTTGGTTGCCTTGCTGTGTTCATCGGCCGTTCAGAAGCAAACTCCACTCCTTTGTCACATAACATGACCAAATGTTCATTTGACAAGGATATTGAAACCCAACTGACTGAGTCCATTTTGCCTATAGACAGAAATTACAGTTTTGGTCTCCAGCAATCATGATTTACATAAGAACCTAAGAACGGCCATATTAGGAGAGACTAAAGGTCCATCTAGACCAATGTCCTGTCTGCCGACAATGGCCAATAGCAGATGCCCCAGAAGGAGGGATCACAACAGCTAATCCTCACATGATCCTTCTCCTGTCACCCATCTCCAGAGAAACAGAGGCTAGGGACACCATTCCTACCCATCCTGGCTAATAGCCATCGATGGACCTAACCTCCATGAATTTATCTATCTCTTTTTTGAACCCTGTTTAAGTACTAACCTTCATTGCATGCTCTAGCAAGGAGTTCCACAGATTGACTGTGCACTGAATGTAGAAAAACTTCCTTTTGTTTGGTTTAAACCTGTTGCCTATTCATTTCATTTGATGACCCCTAGTTCTTTCATTGTGGGAATAAGTCAATAACTTTTCCTTTTTCACTGTTTCCACACAAGTCATGATTTTATAGACCTCTATTGTTTCCCCCCTACTTTGTCTCCACTTTTCTAAGCTGAAAAGTCCAAGTCTTTTTAATCTCTCTTTATATGGAACCTGTTCCAAATACCTAATCATTGTGTTGCCCTTTTCGGAACTTTTTAATTGCCAATATATCTTCTTTGAGATGAGGCAACCGCATCTGTGCACGGTATTCAAGATGTGGGTGTCACATGGTTGTATAGAGAGTCAAGAAGAGATTATCAGTCTTCTTTTCTATCCCTTCTAAATGATTCCTAACATTCTACTTGCTTTTTTTGATGGTCGCTGCAATGATTCCAAGGTCTCTTGAGTAGTTATAGCCTACTTAGCCCCTGTCATATCGTACATTATCTTACAGCTTCTTGTCAGCTCAATCACAGAGAAAAGGTTTCTGATAAAGTACAAGTCCCATGACTTGACTGAAAAGCTTTCTACCACAGGCCTCCATCCTGTCCCCTGATTCATGAGGAAATGCCCCTTGAAGTAGCATAGATGACACCAGTGGTGGTCCAGTGTTAGATCAACTTTTGGTCAGAAATGGGTGAAATTCACTTTGGGGGAGTCATCATTGGGTGTTCCCCCCCCCCCAAAAAAAAACGCTGAGAAGGGAATGGATTCATTCCAACTGATTTAAAAGGGAATTGGATCTGACTCATCTCATATTTGTAAGAATGTAGAAAAATAGCTCTCTGTATCCTAGCAAGCTGAGAATGAACTGCCCAATGGCCCTGACTTGGACCAATACAAAGTGGAAAGACCACACTGGATTTCTGCTCATGAGAGCCAATTGTGCTCCTGATGCAGCTCTGAATCACCTCGACAGTCACTCTCTTTGCACCACCGAGAAACTCGGGGGAATGACACGAGGAATGAAGAGAGTAATGAGCATCACTGGGATTAGCCTATTAAATGCCAAAACCTGAGAAATCAGCTGCATCAATTGGAGGATGAGCCAAGGCAACCAAGTTTGTATGATCACTAATTGGGGGTTGCTGTACAAAATGCATCATAAATCCTTCAGGCCATCCTGGAAACTGTATAAAAGGGCTCACGACTCAGATCGCTTCTAAACGCTTCTTTGGACTTCCTCTCCTCAGTGATCTCGGTAAGTCTAATCTGACTCAATCTCCTTCTCCTCCGAGAAATGGCACTGTAGGGTCCACGTCAATTTCAGACTGGACCTTGCATTGACCACCTACTGCTCATCACAGATGATGTTGTTCTTCCATAGTTATCGTGCATAGACATTCCGTTGCAGGTGCTGGTTCATTCATGATTTGAAGGTGGAGGTTTTAGGGGCATGACGTAGAATAGGAAAATATATTTCCAATGAACTGGAAATAGATTTAAGGCATTTAAACCTTTAAAGTAACTTGAGAAAGCCCTTGAGCCATTCGACACTTACTTAGCTATGGAAGAAACTGACCAAGATTAGTCCCTACATGGCCAATTCAACAGTCTCCTCCTGCATTCGCAAGCAACTGATACACTTCTCTTATGGGAATGAGGGATTCCTACGATGCCAGCTGGTGTGATCCAGTGAACCCATCTCCACGTACTTCTGAGCAGAAATGCCCAGAAAAGATGGTTGTCCACAGCTGGTGCAATTGGGGTTCATTCTATTCTGTTCAATGGCCTGATCTCATTTTTAGCTCAGATGAGGATCTTGTCCTAAGTGATTAATATGGGAAAGGAAAAGGTTCTGTTCATTCATCAGCAAATGTTGGATCCTCCCGAGATTTGGAAAACCAAAAAAGCCTCACTAGGAACTGAGATACGACTGGTTTGCAGGAAGATGTTGGCTCCTCAGTGAAAAGGAAAAGATTTGCAATATGTGAGGTATGGTATATTTTTGCAAGTTCTCAAATGGATACAGAATCCCAGATTTCCATCAATGACACACTTACACCAGGACTAGTTGGTTTTTTTCCAGACAAAGTTATTGAGAAGGTGTTAAAGGGGCCCTTTGGGAAGGAAGTTCAGTATGAGCGGATCAGAGGCATAATAAGAAGAGAAAGTGACGAATACCTACGGTATCTAAATCCACCCCTCTACCTATTATCAAGTCTCAAAAACGCTCATTAGAACAGGAAATGAGCTATGAGACCATTCTTCCACTGACTACTTATGTTTGTCCCATTCCCAATTGTGTGTTTCAGGTTTCCCTCCATCACACAAAGATGGCCTGCTCCAGCCTGAGCTATCCGGAATGTGGAGTGGCCCGACCAAGCCCAGTTTCCGGCACCTTCAACGAGCCATGCGTGAGGCAGTGCCCTGACTCCCACGTGCTGATCATGCCCTCACCAGTTGCCATGACCATCCCAGGGCCCATTATGAGCACCTTCCCTCAGCACAGTGAAGTGGGAGCTGTCGGAGCCCCCCTGGTGGGATCCGGCTACGGAGGCTCATTTGGAGCTGGAGGACTGTTCGGCTCTGGAGCTGGTTACGGGGGATTGTCTGGCTTGGGAGGATCAGGTGGTTATGGGGAACTCTGTGGTTATGGAGGTCGTTATAGTTACGGGGGAGGCTACGGCACCGGGCTATCTTGTCATAGGTACCTGAGTGCATGTGGCTCACCATGTTAGACACGGCAAGAATCTCTATGGCCAAAGGAAAGACCAGGAAATGAACAGCAACCAATAGATTCCGATATCGATTTCAGAAGGGCTGTGGTGGCCTGGCTCCAGCTGACCTCCGCGTGAGCTGTATCTGCCCAGCCCCTTTCACTCATGGGCCCATGTCTAATGTTTTGCTAGGAACTCTTTCTGCCAATGCTTTCCCAGACACATGCTTCTTCTCTTAGTCACAGGTGAACTCCTTCCGGAACCCCGCAGTGTGCAGGAAACAGGGCCCATAAGAAATGCATTGGATGTATTTATCATCACTTTAATTCTTTCTCCTTTGGTACAGCTGTAAATTTGGAAAAACAAAGTCCTTTCCTCCTGTGCATCCAAGGGTAGGCAGTGGTCATTCACAGCCCCTATTATAACACTGAGAATCCATTCTTCCTGCCTTGGGCTATTGCTCTCTGTAACTGTGGATTGCAAATTTCATTCACATTAAAAATTATGCTGCATCAGAATATTCATCTTGTGGTTTTACTTGTTCCTCCTTCTTTCTTTGAAAATGACCCTGGATGAAATACGTCCCTGT